CAAAATGTGTTTAGAAACAGCAACCAAATTTGCAGGTTTTAAAATCTCCACTAATATCCTTATGTAATCTGATTGCAAAGAGATTCTGCATGTATAAGAGATACTAACAAATCAACCTCTTAGTTGGAAATACGAGGTGGGATCCTAAACCAACCTGATAAACTATTCTGATATTTTCTCAGTATAGGAAACTTACATTTATTTAATTCATGAATAAACATGTGGTGAACTATACCTAATTACGATTCTATGTATTTTCCTCTTTCAGATCACAGCATCAAAATATTACAGGGTCTACATTTTTAAATGAATGCATGATTGCCAAAAATTGTATGCACCACTAAATTCAAAGTGTCTTCTCATTGAAATAATTTTCTAAGAGCACAGGTAGAGTAGATCCAGAATAACCATGGACAAAAAAAAAAACCATACACAAAAAATCTAGATGGCAATTTTTCTTCTTTTTTTTTCTCAAATAGCAGCATTTCTAGTTTATGGGCAACTGCTTCCATGCAATTTTAAGAAGCACCAAATGACTGAGGGGTTCTCCCAAAACAAGATGGAAAATGTGTTGCTCCAGCAACATGGATGGACCTGGAGATTGTCATTCTAAGTAAACTGAGCCAGAAAGAAAAAGAAAAATACCACATGATACCACTCATATGTGGAATCTAAAAAAAAGACAAATGAACTTATTTATAAAACAGAAATAGACTCATAGACATAGAAAACAAACTTATGGTTACCAGGGAGGGAAGACGGTGAGAAGGGATTAATTGGGGGTTCAAGATTTGCAGATACTAATATATATAAAATAGATAAACAACAACATATAATACTATAGAGCACAGGGAACTCTATTCAATATCTTGTAGTAACCTGTAATGAAAAATGAATGTGAAAACTAACATACATATGTATATGTATGACTGAACTGTAATCCTGTTCACCAGAAATTGACACAACATTGTAAACCGACTATACTTCAATTTAAAAAAGTGCTGCTCCCATTATTTTAAAGAATTGTTCATAAAAAAATCATAAATTATTCTTATAAATTAATTGGAACAAAACTTGTTTTGGAAAGAGGACCTTTGGGGAATTAGACAATATGGCAATTTTTGAAAGTTTTACTGTATTAACACTGAACTATCTTGGTTCTTTCTCTTTAGACTATCAACTCAAACTAGTAAATCGAATAAATAAAACAACGTAAAGAATTGTAGCCACTCTGATAAGGGCCAACATGATTCTATCTGTAACTTCTGACATCGTAATGTCGGATTCTACCAAGATCTCCCTTTAGGTCAAATGGGCATCATAATCTTTGCCTAAACCAGTTTTGCAAACTTTCTAAATATAATGTAAGAGCGTGTTTCAAGGGAAAAGTTGGACTCATGTTTTATAAGACTAGAATCATGGAGGAACAACTGAGGCTCAGACCAGGATATCCATGCACCTGGATGTTCTAATCCTGTCTGTTTGATACAGTAGCTGTAGTCACATGTAGCTACTGAGAACCTGACATGTGTCTAATCTGAACTGTGATGTATGCTAAGTGTAAATACACATCAGTTTTAAATATTTAATATGCTAAATTTAAAATATCTTATTTTTTTATATTGATTACATGTTGTGGTGATATTTTGGATATATTGGGTTAAATAAAATATATTATTAACGTTAACGTCACCTTTTACTTTCTTCTTTCTTTAATGTGACTAGAAAATTTTAAATTACCTATGTGGCTAGCATTAGTAGTTCATGTTATTTTTTGATTGCTCTACCAAATGGGAAGAATGGATATTTACTACTTTTATTGTCTTGGGGCTGACAAATTAAGGCTACTTTTGTGAATTTAAAAACACTATTCAATCAAGATGTATTATCACTGTATACCTGGTACTGAGTAAGGTACTGGGAATATTAAGATGAACTAGACCCAGTCCCTGTCTTCCAGGACCACAGGCGTTTAGTAGGTGCAGGGAGCTCTGGTCACACAGAGGATGAATGACTGGAAATAAAGGCTACCGAAATTTTGGTAGAAATCCTTCCAGATGTCTCTTATACATACAAATATGTACAAACACAGACACATACACACATTGCAGGTGTGTATGTGTGTGTGTAGCTAGATGATATACAGAGATGGATAGATGGCATTATACTGTCCGTGATGATCTGAAACTCATTTTTTCTACACAACATATGATGGACATCCTTTCACAAAAACAATATAGTCAGTATCATCACTTTATTGGCTTCATGGTAAAAACCATTATATATATGTGCCCAAACTAATTTTGCCTTTTCTATGTTCTCTTATTCATGGACTTTCAAATTGTTTCCACATTACTATGAACAGTACAGGAAGAGACAACTGTGCTCACTTTTCTGATTAGAAATTTAGAATAAACTATGAGGAATCCTGGAGAATCTATTTCTGGACTCTCTTCTGTTCCAGTGATGTGTCTGTCAAATCCAATTTGAGTATCTATTGTTGCAATTATCGTAGCTCTTTGCTGTGTTTTTCCACCTTTTCTCTTGCCTTAACTTTTTTTTAAATTGAAGTATAGTCAGTTTAAAATGTTAATTTCTGGTGTACAGCATGTTTCAGTCATACATATACATATACATATATATATTCCTTTTCCCATCCTTTTTCATTATAGGTTATTGCAAGATATTGAATATAGTTCCCTGTGCTATACAGAAGAAACTTACCTGTTTTATATATAGTAGTTAGTATTTGCAAATCTTGAACTCCCAATTTATCCCCTCCTACCTCCTTTCCCCTGCCCGGTAACCATAAGTTTGTTTTCCATGCCTGTGAGTCTGTTTCTGTTTCATAAGTTGTTTTTTTTGGTTTTTTTTGGTGTGCGTAGATTCCACATACAAGTGATGTTATTCAGTATTTTTCTTTCTCTTTCTGGCTGACTTCACTTAGAATGACTATCTCCAGATTCATTCATGTTGCTGCAAAGGAACCAGTTCTCTTACACCCATGTCCTATCCCCTCTACAACCTTCCCCACGTATTTTTCTCTTCCATTCCATAACCTGTCTCTAATTTTGGTTTAGATCAGTATTTAGCATTTACATTGATATGACTTTGTAAATAACATTCTTGGGTGAGTCATGCAGTGTAACATGTATTTCTTCTCATGTACAATTTTTCTTTTCCCTTAGAGCTAACAGCTAACACTCTCCCTTCTCTCTCTGTCTTCTATATACTCATCGCTAATATACA